CCAGAAAATATGCTTCTGCCATTGCAATCCTGACAATTTCTCGGGGGTTTTGATCTATATTTTTGAATATTTTGTCATTTCGCATTTTCCAGATATACCAAAGTATCCAAAGGTATACTTTCATATCCTCATGTGGTGGGAGATTCTAAAATAAGTTTGCCATGTTAGAATACAGTGCTTCCATGGGAAAGCGGTGCATATGCGTAGGTATTGGCGAGAGTGCCCATACCTGGAATGCCGGAGGACATTCAAATAAAGTATGGTTTGTGGTTTCCTTCTCCGCACCACATCTACTGCATCGAGGATTAAAATTGATTCCTCTAACTTAAAGACGTGCAGTTACCGCCAAACAACCAGAAAGTGCTTGCCACGTAAAGTGTTTCAGTTTTGCTGGAAATTTAATTGTCCAAACCTTTGCCTGTATTTGACTAATATCTAGACCATACAATCTTAAAGATTCTTTATCCGGGTAAAGTTTCTCTGTCAAATATCCCGATTTGACAGTGTATCTTCCTGTCTTTGTGAAATTCCATCCACATATGTCCTGTCGATGTTCCCATGTCGTTGCCATTCCAGTAATCAAAGGAATGTCTTCTGGTACTACCAATTGTTTAATTAGTGGTATATTCCACATTGAAGTTACAGGGTCAATCAATTGATTGACTGGCTCTAAATAATAATTATACTCTTTGCATGATGCTGATCTCAGGCGTGAGGATGGAATCCAAGGATCATTCCACACCGAGATAGAATGACCTGATCCAACTCTTTTGATAAGTCCTTTTTGTACTAGAGTTCTAGTGGATCTGATGCTCTTCCATCCATACGATGGAGAATACGATCTTATTGAATTTTAAGGTGTACCATCCCTAAAGTATCGCCCTTTGAACACCCTTGCAAATAGCGAGTCTGGATATTCAATAAGTCGCCATAATTGTTTCGCCAGAAGAGCTGTGTTAAAATCCTATACCACCTGAAAACCCAGGCCTCATTCAGACTTTGATTTGCACAGCTTATTCCAAGCAATCCAATGCATTCCTCGTGTTTGAATTTTTTTACTCCACCAGAATTTGGCTACTGTGCTCGTTAATTTAGTAGTTATAGTTTTTGGTAATCTGAAGCATGGCATAGTGTATGTTGGAACTGCTGTGGCTACTGATTTAATGAGAACCTCTTTCCCTCCTCTGGATAACATCTTAGACGTCCAACCATTTACCCGTTTTTGCTGTCTTTCTAAAATAAAGTTAAAACTTTTGTTTTAGCCCCTCTAAGACTCTCTGGAATACCCAAATATGTACTCATTCCCCCAATATTGGCAATACCTAATCTGTTATGTAAGAGTTCCCTTGTCGCTGGTGGAACCTTGTATCCAAATTGAACCGAAGATTTCGTAAAATTAATTTGTTGGCCAGAGACTAACTCATATTGCTTTAAAAGATGCAGAAGTACAGTCGCCTCCGACTGTGTTGCCTTATAGAAAAATAGACTGTCATCAGCAAAAAAACAAATGCGATACCGTCAGACTCGCCCGAGCAATCTTCATCCCAGTTATTAGACTATTATTTTCTGCTTTCTTCAAATTAGCAATTAATACTTTCTTCAAATTTGTTTTAGGTCTTGTTTTAAGTTTTAAGAGAATTTAATTAATAAATTTTTTTTTTTTAGAATATTTTAATAAATTAAATGATATGGATTAATTGAAAGTTTTAATTTGTTTTTTCTATTTTTGCCATTTTTTGGTTAAAATGATGTGTCATAGAAAGGGATGCTTATGTGTCAATCCCTTGTGATACATATTCAACTTTTATATAACAGATATTTGCTATAAAATGTTATTATTTACATAATCCATAAAGCAACTCAAAACTCAAAAACTCATCCCTAAAATATGATGGGGGAATTGCTGAATATGACTCAAAACTTGAGTTGAAATGCAAAACTAGACCCCCTATTGCATGTTTGACAAAAATAACTCACAGGGATAGTGAAATTACAACTTTAACCCTTATGACCAAAAAAACAAAGCCAACCTCAATTAGTATTTTATCACAGAGAAGTCTACTCGAAAAGTTAAGTAGACTTCTCGAGTAGACTTCTCCAAGAAGCCTACTCTTTAATAATATGTTTACAATTAATTTTAAAAATTATAAAAAATAATTTAATAAAAAAAATTAGATACATAACAACAAATATATACTTTTTACACCTATTAAAAATAAAATTTGACAGAAAATAATCAATTTAAATCATCATAGATAAATTAGGATAAAAATCAATACTAAGAGACTTCTCGAGTAGACTTCTCGAGTAGACTTACATGAATTTTTTTCTACATATATAAGGAGAGTTTAACCTAATTGTATTAACAATAAAATCTCTCTCTATCTAAAAAATGCTTCTCTCTCTTCTCCATTCTCTCTGGCCATGAATTTCTTCTCATTCCTCTCTTGCTATCAATATCCTCTCCATCCTCTCTATCTTGTATTCAACCTTCTCTCACTTGCAGGTTATGGTAGTGGTAAGCAAATCTGAGCTTTTGTGTTCCTCTTTTTGTTTACTTTGTGTTCATATTGCAAATCTGAGCTTATTATTATAGATTTGAGCTTATTGTTGTAGATCTAAGTTTATTTTTGTAGATCTGAGTTTATTATTGTATAAATTTTGTAGATTTTGTTAATTTTTTGTTATTATTGCAGAGCTGAATTTTGTTGATTTTTGTACAGATCTGAATGTTATAAATATAGTAGATTATTATTATAGATCCGAGCTTATTAGTTTAGATTTGAGCTTATTGTTGTAGATCTAAGTTTATATTTGTAGATCTGAGTTTATTGTTGTATACATTTTATAGATTTTGTTCTAGATCTAAATTTTTTTGTTATTGTTGCAGAGCTAAATGTTGTTTATTTTTTTTGCAGATCTGAATGTAGACTTCTCGATCTCGAGCAGACTTCTCGAGTAGACTTCTCGATCTCGAGCATACTTCTCAAGCAGACTTCAGTTGCATACATAATTTTCAGAGATTTTAGTTTACTAGTAATTTCTTATGCCAGTTTTAAGATTTATAATTAGTGATCCTTAAATGTTTGTTTGTTTAGAGGGTTATTTTCTATGTAATGTTGAATTGCATTGAATGTTTTGTATCAAATTCCTAAATTATCTATGTTTATCTATTCTACAAAATAGAATTCTCCTGTCTCGAGTAGACTTCTTAAAGACATTAATTTTACATAACTTATAAGTGATTCAGAGGGACATTGCTCCCATTTATATCATATAACATGTCAACCGAGTAGACTTCTCTTGTCTCGAGTAGACTTCTCCTATCTCGAGTAGACTTCTAAAAGACATTAATTGTACCGAGTAGACTTCTCTTGTCTCGAGTAGACTTCTCCTGTCTCGAGTAGACTTTTGAAAGACATTAATTGTCGCGAGTAGACTTCTCCTGTCTCGAGTAGACTTCTAAAAGACATTAATTTTACATAACTTAAAAGTGATTCAGAGGGACATTTCTCTCATTTATATCATATAACTTGTCAACCGAGTAGACTTCTCTTGTCTCGAGTAGGCTTCTGAAGTAGACTTCTCATTGTCTCGAGTAGACTTCTTAAAGACATTAATTTTACATAACTTAAAGGTGACAACATTCGCCCTCCTTTGCTATTCGCCCTCCTTTGCCAACATTCACCAAGAAGCTCACCATGTGTGCAACCATCTCTTAAGAACAACATCCGCCCTCCTTTGCTGTTATCCACCTCGAACTGCCACACTGATTCACTCTTAACCCATTCTCCATAAACAGCGGTTATGTGAGCCATTCTCTGTGAAAAAAGAACAAAATCCAAACCACATTAGACATCAAAATTGCATAAGTAGACTTCTCTGAAAGTCGGATGAAGTCTACATAATAGACTTCTAGAGTAGACTAAGAAGTCTACTCTTAATAAGCTAAGTATCATATAAAACATGAAAACTCATTCGACTATACCTATAATATATAAACATGCAAAACTTATACATAAGCAAGAAAACTTAATAACAAAAGCTTTGGATCACGAAAATCTTAAAAATTTGTTATATATTGTATAAATATGATTTTTTTTTAAAAACAAGAAAAGTAGACTTCTCGGATAAAAGTAGACTTCTCGCAGGTTAGTTTTGCAATTGCCAAAATATTAGTAGACTTCTCTATGAAAAGTAGACATCTCCGAGAAGTCTACTTTCGTAAGTAGACTTCTCGCAGGTCATTTTTGTAATTGCAAAATATTTGACTTTTTGGGTCAATTGCAAAAATGACCTGCGAGAAGTCTACTTCCGTAAGTAGACTTCTCGGAGAAGTCTACTCTACAAAGTCAAAGGTTAGTCAATTGCAAAAATGACCTGCTTCTAAAGAAGTCTACTCGAGAAGTCTACTCGAGAAGTCTACTCCATTTTTTTGTTATCAAAGGAAATAGAGTCGACTTCATTCGGACCAAAAGAAGTCTACTTTTTCATGCGGTCAATTGCAAAACTAACATGGGCGTTGACTAGTAGACTTCATTTGGACCGAGAGAAGTCTATTTTCGGAGCATTTTCGTAAATAAGTGAGGAAGATGAGGATTAGTTGGTCATTTGGATTTCCGAAAATAAAAGAAATTAATTAAAAATAATGGTAATTTCGTGAATAACTGAAACTATGAAAGATTGTTTGGACACAAAATGGCAAATGTTGGGAAGGTGATTTTTGTGGGTTAGATTTGTAATTCAAATCAAATTTTAGGTTATTTTTGCAAGAATCCCAAATATGATAGAGCACTATATATATAACTCTTTCTTTGGTCATATATATTTAGTTCTTTATTTTATATGTTTTTTTTTGTTCTACTTTTGTTTTAAACATTGCTTTTAACAGGTCAACCTGGTAGAGAAAGATAATTAACTCCTACAATCTTGCAACTCCTTAATTAGCAATTGTAGCCTCTTCTACTAGTCCGAGTCTGATCCTATTTTTCATATATTACATCCAATCAGAGCTCTAGTATCCCAACTCATTAGATTTAATCCAACCCTTCTGTGATTGTTTCAATTAATTTCTGTTCCACTACAATATTCATTCTCACTTCCCAAACAAAATTCTTAATTCTCTCTATTCCAATTTTTTAAAACTTATTGTCAGTAAATATCCAACTGAAATTCATCTAAAAAAATGACTTCGCATGGTGATGAAATCGAAGAAGAACAAATATCAAGAATTGAGAAAGGCAAAGGCACAGATTGCCATGGAAGAATCGAGACGGTCATATGTACTTCTCCCAGCATTGTTTGCCTCACCCAAAAGGTTAGAAAAAATAAGTGTATTTATTCTATTACATAGTTATAATGATGGTAAATATTTTTGAAGAAACTGGTTTATGGGTTTTAAAATTGGTTACAGTTAATAGCAGAGATGATCGGGACGTATTTCGTGATATTTTCTGGATGTGGAGTGGTGGTAGTGAATGTGTTGTACGGTGGAACTGTGACGTTCCCGGGAGTATGTGTGACTTGGGGTCTCATTGTTATGGTCATGATTTACTCTACCGGTCACATCTCCGGTGCACATTTCAATCCAGCCGTCACCGTCACTTTTGCTGTTTTCCGGCGGTTTCCCTGGTATCAGGTCAGAATCTATTCTCTATCTCATCTTTGAAATAAAATATAGATTTTTTCGTACGCTAAGTTATTATGCGTTTACATATAACTATAAATTACAAAAAAAAGTATTTTCATACTCTCATAAAATACAAACAAACTTTTCCCATAGTTAATGTAAAAAAAGATATTTTGCCACGAAATTGCGAAGTAATGATACTTGATAAATTGTTCATCTGAGCTTTAGATTAACAAAAAATAGTATTGTTTAAGATGATATATATAGCTGTGAAAGCAGATGCTAACAATTTTTTGGAATCTTAATGATCGTTGTTGGATTTGATATTTGCATAGTGAAAGTGATTTGTATAATATGTTTTTGGCAGGTACCATTGTACATAGGTGCACAACTTGCGGGATCGTTACTAGCGAGTTTGACACTGAGACTAATGTTCAAAGTCACACCCGTAGCTTACTTCGGTACAACTCCTACTGATTCGGCAGCACGAGCACTCGTTGCAGAGATCATTATCTCATTCCTTCTCATGTTCGTTATCTCCGGCGTTTCCACTGATAGTCGTGCTGTTAGTGTTTCTTTCTACCACCATTTTTTTCCTTTTGTTATGTCTTATACATATCGGTAGATCACTAGAATTGAAATGGAGACAAAAAAAAATATAGATGACTTATATGTTGAAACTTAAAAACACAAACAGTTGGTCTTGCTAGCTAATGCATACAATTTTTTTAGCTAACAATATCTGATCAATACTAACTGTGGCAAAAATATAGCTAACTAACTATGCAGAATGAATCCACTAGGAGATTACTAAGCGAATACAAATTAACTTAGTTACAAAACTTGTGAATGATGATTTTGTGTGTTTTTGACATTTATCTTGCTCATTGGTAAAACTTGTGGACGATTGCATGATGTGAGTGGTAACATATTAGGATTAAGATAGTCCAGTTGTTTCCTTTAAGAACAATTTGTTTCATTTGAACTCGCTAGTGCATATTCAAATGTATGTTGTTTAGCAAAACAAAAAAAGTTCTACTGTAAATTGCTACAAAATGCAGTCATTTGAAAAATGTATGCAAATGGAAATTCTCATGTTAGACTGTTCTAAATTTGGTTGACAGATCGGAGAATTAGCTGGAATTGCCGTAGGAATGACTATAATGTTGAACGTCTTCGTGGCAGGGTAAAATATACTTTTTTTTATATATATTACTACCAACATATTTTTATGATTGGAAATATTATTAATTTAGGATTGTAAATAATAGACCTATTTCGGGAGCATCAATGAATCCAGCAAGAAGTCTAGGACCAGCAATTGTGATGGGAGTATATAAAGACATTTGGGTTTACATTGTTGGTCCAGTTGTGGGAGTTATGGCGGGAGGTCTTGTATACAACTTTATCAGATTTACAGATAAACCACTCCGAGAACTCACCAAAAGTGCTTCTTTCCTCCGCAGCGTCTCTCCAAACAACAATGCTTCTAGTCGTTAGAGCTTAAGTTTTTTTTATGAGTCATATATTTATGTATAAACTATATCTTTTATGAAGTAAAAAAAAATGCTGAAAAATACTCAACTTTCAAAATGTGTTAGATATATACAAGATCTTCCATCAAACATATAATCTATTGGATTTAGTCCTGTCCAATACACATACGATTAACCTAATATACTTAAGGTAATTTTCAAGAAAGATATAGGCGACGGCGTCGCCAATTTAACTAATTACAATGAACAAGTCAGGACGGGTGGTGAATAAATAAGAAAACCCTTTAACACTTTAAGGTTTTTTGACATTAACATATTCAGACAATCATGCGAAAGCCAATCGGTTAATAATAAATTATTTTTAACATGAGGTGAAAAGCAACTACTTTATTTGCAAATTGAAAGACAAAAGCATGGAAAGAAGTTTCTTAACCTCACAACTATACTGTATAGATAGAGAGCTTTCTTCAATTACTGTGTAAACCTGTTAAAAGCAATTTTAACTGTCCACGTTGACAAAGAAAAGAGCTCACTATTAGGAAATGAAGAAAGACATTGACCTCCGACAAATTTGGAACTCCATATTTGACTCATTAAACTCATGGTCAATTCTTTTTACCTATCTCTACCTAACGTCAAAATCTGATCCTATTTTTCATCTTTAACATCCGATCACAGCTCTATTATTCAACATCATTTGATTTAATCCAATCCTTCTATGATTGTTTATACTTTCTTTCTCATTGTATAGAAACTCTTTGATCTTCAAATTCTCCACTTTATTTCAATAATAAAATTCTACAATACTAAATTTAAAATTTATTTAAAAAATGACTTCGCATATTGAAGAAATTCAAGAAGAACAAATATCAAGAATGGAGAAAGGCAAATGCAAAGATCATGAAGGAATCGAGACAGTCATATGTACTTCTCCCAGCATTGTTTGCCTCACCCAAAAGGTTGAAAACAAAAAATGACAAAACGATTGTTTTATAGCACAATAGTGATTAAAATAAATATTTTAAAAACGATTTATTACAGTTGATAGCAGAGATGATCGGAACATATTTCCTAATATTTTCTGGATGTGGAGTGGTGGTAGTGAATGTATTATACGGTGGAACTGTGACGTTTCCGGGAGTATGTGTGACTTGGGGTCTCATTGTTATGGTCATGATTTACTCTACCGGTCACATCTCCGGTGCACACTTTAATCCTGCCGTCACCGTCACTTTTGCTGTTTTCCGACGGTTTCCCTGGTATCAGGTATCTTTCTATCTCTTCTTTATTTGATTAAGTTTTCGATTGTTTCAATAACTAAATTTTGCTTTTATATCTAAATGTAAAAAAAAAAAACAACGGACAGTTAACATTTGGCTTTTGCGTCTACATTTTATAAAACATTTTACAATGTAAAAACAATTATAGTAAGTATATTTGGAATTTGACTAATGGACTATGTAGCACGAAAGCTTTTCTAGAGGTCTGCTTCCCGCTTCCAAATCAATATCAGAGCCGGAAGCTTTTCCGCAAACTCAATTCCATAACGTTTCCAAATCATTTGTTTTAAAAGGTTGTTGGAAGCTTGAGTTTCCATTTTGGAAGCTTGAGTTTCCATTTTGGAAGCTTACGCTTTCATATTAAAAACATTGGTATACACTAATTTTATCTTTTATCTATAAAATATATGGTTTAAAATTATTATTTATTGACGAAAAATTGTAAAATTGATTAGATGGATGAGGTTATCTTGAAAAAGTTGAATTATAAGATCTTTGTTTCGACAACAAATTTTTTAAAATGATTTTATTTGATGATGTTAAAAAAAAATTGAAAATGAAGACAATGTTTTCCATCTTCTGTTTTGATTGAATTAAATTGTATGAAATAGTCAGATTATATTTATTCTATTTATAGCCATTTATTACTATTGTATAATTTTGCTTTATTTGAATTTTACGTACAGCTTAGCTAATAAATATGATTGTATAATGTTTTGGGTAGGTACCATTATATATAGGTGCACAATTTACGGGCTCGTTACTAGCGAGTTTGACATTGAGGCTAATGTTCAAAGTTACACCAGAGGCTTACTTCGGAACAATTCCGGCTGATTCATCTGTACGAGCCCTTGTAGCAGAGATTATTATCTCATTTCTCCTCATGTTCGTTATCTCCGGCGTTGCCACTGATAATCGCGCGGTTAGTGTTTTCTATATCACTAATTTTTGTTCTGTGTACGACTTTTTAGTTACCCATATAATATTGGTAGATCGTTAAATTTAAAATGGACACACAATATATGACATGATTAATCTGAAAAAAAAAACAAATTCTTGTACTTGCTAGCTAATTAATATATCTTTTTCGAATAACCTCTAATCAAACATTATTTGTGGCAAACATGCGTCTATATGTAAAAAGAAATAGGAAACTTTTTTGTTAAAAAAAAAGTTGGAACGATAAAAAGAAAGTATATCTTTGCGCTAGATTGCACATACAAATCTAGATATAAAAATAGGAAATTACTAGTGCATATAATACAACCTATTTCCACAAAAAAACTCACAGGGTTACTTATAAGCAAAAAGTAATGGCGTTGTTCTTACGCTGTTGGATTATTCTTATTTTTTTCTTTTCATTCTTACAGGTGGGAGAATTAGCTGGAATTGCGGTGGGAATGACTATAATGTTGAACGTCTTTGTGGCTGGGTAAAACTATTTTTTTGTTTGTTTTGTTTCAAACGACATAATTTATAATTTATCTTTTTCATAAAAAAACATAATTTATATACAAATATAGAATTATATTTTGGGTTTTGATTATTATTTATATGCAAAAATGTTAGACCAATTTCCGGAGCATCGATGAATCCAGCAAGAAGTATAGGACCAGCGATAGTGATGGGAGTATATACAGGACTTTGGATTTACATTGTTGGTCCCGTCGTCGGAATCATGGCTGGAGGTTTTGTTTACAACTTAATCAGATTTACAGATAAGCCGCTTAGAGAGCTCACTAGGAGCGGCTCTTTCCTCCGTTCGGTTTCTCCAAAACACAAAGCTTCATCGAAGAGCTAATCTTTTGTTCTCATTTATTATCTTATTTTGTCAATTTTTCCTCCTGAATAGTTGTATACGTTCTTCATTCCTTTTATTAACTTAAGTTTAGTTGAATCTAGTCTTAGAGAAAATGTCTTTGTAACACAAAATCTTAAAAACAAACGTGTTCCAAAATCAGACATGTGTTACAAAGCACATAAGCACATCCTTATATATATATACCTAGATGTCTCACTGTTGGACCGTTGGTGTATAAATCCTGGTACAATAAGATAGGCCCATCGAAGAGAAATGAAGAAATCTGAGGAGAAGTTAAACGACAACGAACTCAAAGCAGCCCAGGGTGAACAACGAATCGAGTAAAGAATCCAACCTTGAAGTCAATCAAGGGGTGGACACGAGAATCAGTCAAAATGACAATTTAATGCGCTGAAGAAAAACAGCCAAATCAACAGTAATAAATCAATACAACAATAACATCAATCTCTTTCCTAAAGATGACACATCAGCATTTTGAAGCTTTCTAAATACGACACTTCAGCAAAAATATTCACCAATCAAAACATTTTATTAATACAACTCATCTACTTATTTTTATTTTTAAACTTAAATCCATTAAAAACCCAAATACTTTTTCTATTAATCTTTGTTTTATTTTTTACCAAATCCAAGCCCAAATAATTAATAACACTAAATAAAAAATATTTATTTTATTTTTTTGTCAAACTAAAACCCAAATAATAAATAACAACAAATAAAAAATTAAATCTTTTTTTTGATGGGCAACACAATTTTCTATGTTTGATGAATAATACAATTTTTTGGTTTTCGTACGAAAATACAATTTCATAATTTTTGTCGAAAAATACAATTTGACAATTTTGGCGGAAAAATACAATTTCTCAATTTTATTAGGAAAATACGATTTCTTGGTTCGACGAGAAAATAAATTTTCTTAGCTTTGGCGAGAATAGGAAATTTCTCTATTTTGCTAGAAATATGAGATTTCTTGGTTTTGGTAGAAAAATGTGATTTTTAGTTCTGTTAGCAAAATATAATTTCTCGGCTATGGCAGAAAAAAAGTAAATTTTCAGATTTGGCGAGAAAATATGAATTTTTGGTTTTTGTGAGAAAACAAAAAAAAAATTAATTTTGACGGAAAAACAAAATATCTTAGTTTAGACAGAAAAATGCTCAGTTTTGATGAGAAATGCAACTTTTCAATTTTGACAAAAATGTGATCTCTCAGTTTAATAGGAAATGCAAAATTTTGGCTTTTGGCGAATAATGTGATTTCTTGGTTTTCGCACAAAAATATGATTTTTAGTTTTCGCAAAAAATGGAATTTGACGATTTTGGCAGGAATAACTAATTTCTTGGTTTTTTGGGAAATGCAAATTTTCAATTTTTGACAAATAATGTGATTTTTTTGTTTTCGCGGAAAAATACAATATCTTAGATTTCACAAAAAAACACAATTTCTCTTGAGATAATGCAATTTTGGGTTTTTGCGAAAAATTCCATTTTATTTGTTTTGGTAGAAAAGCTTCTTGGTTTGACAAAAAAATGAAATTTTTGGTTTTGGCGGGAATAGAAGATTTCTCGGTTTTTGCAGGAAAATAAAATTTTCGGTTTTGACGGGAAAATACGATTTTTTGGTTTTTGCAGAAATATGATTTTTTTTAGTTTTGGTAAAAAAAACGTGATTTTTAGGTTTTGGCGAGAAAACACAGGTTCTCGCGGGAAAATAAAATTTTAGGTTTTGGGTTTGACGAGAAAATAATTTTTTTTTTGTTTTGGCGGGAATATGCACTTTCTGAGTTTTATGGGAAAATAAAGTTTTTTTGTTTTGATGGAAAATGTGATTTCTTGGTTTTTGAAAGAAGATGAAATTTTTTTGTGCTAAATTTTTAAGTTAAAGTATGTTTACAGTAACCAAAATTTAATTATTTAACTTCAACTAAAATGATATCTCAATAGTTCAAATAGCAATGGTTTTGATATGAATGTTATTGATAATAGTTTAGTAGTTTTAGAAACATATGTTTATAATAAATATGTGATAAATAAATAAATTTTATAATTCAAGATAATCAGATATATTTTTTTAAATGGCATTTTACTTATATAATTACAAAGGAGAATCAAGTGATAGTTTATTGGAGAAAATAAATTACATTTGCTATTAGCATTAAGGTACTAAAAAATATATTGCTTTATTCTTACATATACATATATAATTAGTTAGCTAAACAAATTTAATAGCAATTTATAATTTCAAAAAAAAAAAATTAAGGATATATAATGTTTATTCAAATTAAAAACATATAAATACATAACTTAAGCTAATAAAAATATAATACTCATTTACATTATAAAAATAATTTTCTTATAATAAAAATATATACAAAATTTAAAGAAATATCCTGCAGCGTAGCGCGGGTAAATACCTAGTATAAATAATAACATATTAAATGGAGTAAATGAGAAAGAAGATGAAAAAAGGACAACACATTCTTACCACACTACGTTACATACTACTTTCGAACTCATTTTTTTCTCAATTTTTACTCTCGTTAAACGTTTTCGAACTGAAATATATATTTTACTCATTTGCTATTGTATTTCACTTTGAATTCAATACAAAATCCATATATTTCATCAATAGTCTCCGAATCCCTGTTTATTAGTATCAAATAGCCATTCGATCCTAAGTTTCCAAAAAAATATTTGTTTGTTGAAATTTATGCACAAGTAATTTAACGCTAGAAAGAAACAATATGCAATTCTAACACCAACAAAAAGATAATCAAAGTATAAGTGGTTCACGGACAATATAAGATTTGGAACTCGTTTTTGACGAAATGGTTTTAGACTATTTCCGATAAGTTTCCAGCAAAAACGTTCGTTGAAATAGTTGGATGTTGGGCATGATGTAATCATATTTCAAAATGAGAAATTGAGTCTATAATGGGTTATTTACAAAGTTTAAAATATAACATTTATAAAATGTCTCACTTGGAAATTAAAGGTTAAATCCCTTTTGAATATAAATTAAAGAAATCGTAATAAAATTTTTAATCCTATAAGATACATTTGGTGTATCGTAGAAAAGAGATACTCGTGTGGAGCTTATGCTTTGGACTTCTAGATTTGGTTAATGGGTCAACGGATCAAAAGATAATTCTTTTATGATAAATTATTTTTGATAATTATTATTGACTAAGTCAATAAAATATCTTCTCTAAATTAATGTGTTTAGGTCAATTGATATTGACAATTAAGTGCAAAGTCATTTTTTTTTTGTGGTCAACTTTTTGAATTAACTGAAAAGGGTTCAAGGGAGGCCCAGTAGGCTACAAGACATGATGGCTGTTCTAGCCAGCCCATCTGCTACAACGTTTTCAGAGTGAAAAACCGTAAAATCAATGTCAATTATATTTGATTTTGTAACATACCGGCACACTACGGGTAGGATAGTTGAAAAAGCAGTTTTATTTTGTGATCTTTAAGTGATTTACGGAGATATCATATCTCAACTCTATTTTAATTCGCTTTTATTCTAATTATAGTATTATAATTTAATATTTTAATTTCTATTGCTTATAATTTTGCTTCACATATCAGTTTTGCTCTATTAAATTTGGTGCCTACATAAGTTTTAGAATAATTCAGTTGTTCATCATGATTCCAATCATTGCAACGATTTACATTCACTCACAAACAAGATCATTTTTATTCGTAATAGGTTGATCAAGTGAAAATTGTTTTCTATATGAATATGGATTAGTCGCTCACAATGGATTTTCAAACTCAAGGAAAATCAAGTGTTAATAAACCATCTCTAACTGTTAGAGGGGAAATAAGCACAATTCTAAAAAGTTTTCTCTAACAATAATCTAAGTCCACCAAGATCAGGAAGACTGCGCCGACATAGTTCTAAAAAGAAAAACCTCAAAATAATCTCAAAATTCCCAAAGAGTCAGATCAGCTCAAAATAATATTTAAGAATAAATAAAAATTTCCATATTATTCGAAGAATAAGGGATATTTCCATATCGCAAATATGGAAATATTCACCAAAAGAAAAAAAGAAAAGAAGTTTGGAGCAACCGTCCTCCTATTCCTATAAATAAGAAGACACTAGAGCACAAGAAGAACAACTGATACAATCTAGAGAGCAGCAGAGCTAAAACCAAGAACCCAAACGTTTTTTAGTTTACTTCACAAACACCTTCTTTTCACTTTGGCATAACCTTTTGGTTAAGCCATCTCTTATAATCGCTTCATCTTTGAGCTATTAATAAAAGACCTTATTCTCTGAAACCCACAACTGTTAATCAAATCCTTAGTGGTGATTTTCTGGTTCAACAGTTAGCACCTTCTATGGGACTAGGAGAATAAATTCTTAAAACTAGCAACTAAAGATCCGAAACGATGAGCCTTCCATCTGATAGCAACGACCTCACCCTCAACGTGGAAGACACCACCACGCGCACTGGTACACCTGCTCTCGACAAGCACAGCAACCCTATCACCCACGAGAGAACACGCGATGTTCGACGATTCCTACATGATCTTAGGAGGGGTATTCAACGACCCCAATTCGCTTAAAGAAATTAAGCGTTACGAAGAAAAAGCAGTAGAAGCAAAGCGCAACCCGACCATTGCAAAAAAAACGAAGCACCAATGGATTTCACAGCAGAAGATCTACACAACTCCACATGTCGACCCATTGGTTATAACTTTACAAATTCACGAAAGTACAGTCGCCAAAGCTTTGGTTGACAGTAGAAGTACCGTCAACATTATCTTCAAAGATACATTGGCGAAGATGAGCATCAACGAAATCGAGATAGCAACAACGGCAAAACCACTGACAGGATTCACAGGCGACACCTTCTATAGTATTGGCTCGATAAATCTACTCACCTACATTGGCGGCGTAACCAAAAAGGTAAAATTTGTAGTCATCGACTGCCCAACTATCTATAACGTCATACTCGGGACCTCGTGGATCCACAACATGAATGCCGTCATCTCAACCTACCATCAATGCATCAAGTTCCCGACAACTACCGGCAC